ACGTCGATTTTTATTCTCAACTGCGCATTTTGTGAGATATTGTTTTTAGAATGACGTCATCTATGTGAACTCGATCGTCTTGTACAGGTTTGTAAACTAAAGTAACTATGGATCTCTTCAAACGCTATAGTGTCCTTTCTGCTATTGATTTTCTACTACCTTTATAGAGGTCTTTACGGGTATTAGTATATTAAACATAAGGTTGACGGTATTTAAAAGTAAAAATATGGTATTAAAACATGTACAAAATGTTTCATTAATACTTGTAAATATTCTAAATAAAAAATTTGAGCTCAAAATATGAACATCTATCTCAAAATATGGCTGCTTAATAAATTGCAGTGTGTCTTATTTAATTTTTTTTGTTAAATTTTTATCATTTTATTTATATTTATTTAAAGTTAAATAAGGCAGCACTAGCTTTTATGTAAAATCCTTTTTTATATAGCCAACTTTCTTTCCTTTAATATAAACTTTCAATAAAAATGCATGAATTGATTATTTTAAATCAAAAAAAGTTTATCTTTATTTGTTTTTTTTTTTCGTAACAATGAATTTACAATGAAATTAATTTAAAAAGATCTTCTCCATAAGAAAAATATTGCAACATAATATGTAATTGTTGTTTTACTCGTTTTGAGCAATGCAAACAAATGACAAACCACAAATGGCGGCTTTAGTTTTACCTAGTCTACATATCGAATCAACGTTTTACATTTGAAAATATGAAAAATACCTTTAACTCTTTCAATACCCAATGAACCAATTGATTTGCATTTGTTTTATCGATTCCATATCGGTATTATAGAGACCGCGATTTTCGCGTTGCGAGAAGAACGAAAGGAGGTACGTTTTCCCACATACGTCTTGTTAATTCCAAATTACTTCCTAAGAGACAACCACGGCTTTTATGCAACAATTGCTCTTGCTGCAACTGAGAGAATAAGCAACTAGGTCGAGCTCGACGACACCGGCACCTTTGATTTAAAATCCAAGATTTTTTTTTATTTATTTATCCTTTAACAGTTGTTAAGAACTTAATACAATTTATATCCCAAAACGAATTTCTATTTAATTATGTTAATAAAAAATACAAAAATTGTTCCAAAAGTTCATGAAAAATTAAAATTATTTTGAATTTCTATAATTGGCTTTAATTATAATTACAAGCTAATTTAGTTATATCAGAAGTTTGGTAAGATTTTAAAAATTAAACCTTCTTTTTCACGACATTAAATAGAACAAAGGTATTTCCTCTGCACAGTTGAATGTTATTGATTTATCTTCTTTTATTGGTTCAAATTTGGCAAGATTTTGGTATCTTGTTGAATACTGCTGACTTAATGTTTATATACTAATAATAATTACTAATAGACTAATTATTTTTGCATTTTGTAAGACTTCGTCGGAATCATGAATACTTCATCGACTGCGATTTGTTTGAATATCGATTCTTCTAAATTAACATTTAAAATATGACCATTTGTTAGACAATTTGTTAGACAATTTGTTAGACAATTTGTTAGACAATTTGTTAGACAATTTGTTAGACAATTTGTTAGACAATTTGTTAGACAATTTGTTAGACAATTTGTTAGACAATTTGTTAGACAATTTGTTAAACAATTTGTTAGACAATTTGTTAGACAATTTGTTAGACAATTTGTTAGATAATTTATTAGATAATTTGTTAGACAATTTGTTTGAAAATTTGTTAGACAAACAATTTTTTAGATAATTTGTCATACAATTTGTTAGACAATTTGTTAGACGATTTGTTAGACAATTTGTTATACAATTTGTTAGACAATTTGTTTTACAATTTGTTGTGCAATATGTTAGACAATTTGTTAGGCAATTTGTAAGAAAATTTTGCTGGACATCTGATTTCTTAAAATGACTTTTTGAACTTATATAAAAACAAAGCCTTCTTTTGCTGTGATCAATGACCTAGTCATTCTATAGACAGGGAATTTTGAGAACATAATTTGCAAAAAATACAAGTAACTCTCAAAGTTATAGGACAGATAAAAAATTATTCATAAAGTTCATAAACATAAAATTATTCTTAGTGAAAATTTCAGCTGGTAAAAGTGCGATTGCTAAATGAAATTTATTTATGAATGGATTTTATGAATAAAAACCTCAAAAAAAGACCTCAACTAAAATTTCTCTAAATGAACAAGAAATCAATATATGAGTATTGAGTATCGTTAGTCCTTTTTTATTAGAAGGCTAACTGAATGGACCAATGTATTTGAAACTTTTGGAAAAGACCATTGACCCCATGTTGATAATAATTTCATCGAAAACATCTATGACCATGGAGGAAGGATAATTAAGAGTTGCCGTTTCTTTGTATAAATATGGCAACATGTTTGCCTTCAGCGACATATGGGATAGTTTTGTGCAACTAATACTCAGTCGGTAATATAAAAAGCTGTAATGCTACTTTAATTTGAAAATTGGCGGGCTTTTGAATTTACTTCGACAAAATATAAGAATTTTACATTTTTAATAGCATTTTTTTAACACGCATCTCATGCGTGTTAAAAAATGCTAATAAAAATATAAAATTTTATGTTAAATAATTTTAGAGATATAAAATAAATAATACAAAATTGTACTATAACTAAATATTATTTGTTGAATCTTTATTGGTTACAACAATAAACATAATATATATTTTCTGAATAAACAACTATTTTAAATAACACAAAACGAACATAATTTTTCTTCACTCGTGAGAAATAAAACAAGAGTTCCATCCATAAATACTGAAACGAAAAGAAAAAAAAATTGTTGAAAGCGAAAAACTTCCTAAAGCACATGATTTTGATTGTATGTGACTAATTACTTTTGCATTTGCAGCGATTTAACTAATTTTTAATTTACTACTTCTAATTTCTATAACGTCTAATTAAGATTTTCTTGCTTTATGTAATGAAAATACTTTAGATTTATAAAGATTAAAAAGTTTGGTTATAATACATACAATTAAATTGGCATATCTAGGATAATTATCAAAATGAATATCAGAATTAAAACTTTGTTAAGGATTTCAATATTTGGGGATAACACAATTACGAATACGAATAATAATCCTTTTTTCAGTTGACAATAAAATGAAAATGTTTAAAACAGTGTAAATGGGCCAGAACAATTTGCTATTACAATCAAATATATGCATTTATAGGACATAGACATGCAAAAGTATCAAAATAAGTTTACTTACAGTAAATTATTACTAAATTTATGCCTAAAACTGTATTAAATAAAAGTAAAACTCACTTAGAATTGTTTACATCGACAGCCATATTGTATTTTGTATCATTCGGGTTTCGTTTATCGAGTCGACTCGAGCATTAACGAGATTTGGGTTTTGTTATCCAAAGCCAGGTTTACATTGTACAAATAATTGAATAAATTCATATTTTTTCAATTTTACGATTGATAAATAAAAAAAAAGTGAAACTATTACTTTTGACAAGTTAATAACACATTTTTATTGAGATATTTTGTAATTATTCTGTTTTCTTTATATTTTATATATAATTGTGTTATTGTAAAACGGACGTACGCCAGTTTCGATGCGCAGTAACTTGTTGACAAAATGCGCATATGCTATAAACCCCCGTGTCTATGACCGGTAAAACTTATACGTAAAACCACTTCATGCATATCAACTCTCAATAAGAAATCAATATCCAATTTTCAATAAAGTTTTAATTTCTTCCTGAACAGCTTCCATTCATATTTACAATCAATAAAATTATTTATCGGCCATTATCAGATCATAAAGCTGCCGATGATATTCTTTTCATACCCAATTTGGTATCAGTCCTCTTTAATATCCAATACGATGGAACATTTCATGTATAAATTTCGTTACATTCACAGCTTGGTGGCAAAATAGCGCATGGAAACGATAAGCTGTTATGTTTAAATTATACAACTGGCCGTTAAAAATATGTAACGTAAATAGAAACCATAAATAAGTCTTTAAAAGTGCATTTGCAATGAAATATATTAGACGAATAATTATTTATTTTCAATACTGATATTACATTTCGTCACATTTGCGTAGTTACTTTCTTCTACAAGGTGTGTGCAGGGCCGCCGAGAGCCAGGTGGGGCCCCGGACAATTCTCTACTATCGGGCCCTGTCACAAAGAAACTTAACCAAAATCTTTTCGTTTTCTAAAAAAAAAAAAAAGGTTCTCATCTCGAAAAAAAATATTTTCTCCCTATTGTCGGGCCCCCCTTATAGCGCTGCCGGGCCCCCATTTGAGCCCGGGCCCCGGGAATTTGTCCCGGCTACCCCCCCCCCTCCTCTAGTCGGGCCTGGGTGTGTGTATCTATTTTTTGTAAATTACAAACTTTGGTAAATAGTTTAATTTTATTTTGCTGATAGTTTTATATATGAAAAAGCAGAAGGAACGCAAAATATATTTTTTTAATTGCATTTTCTGACTAAGAGATTCGACAAAATCGATTTTTCTGATATGTAACTCATCGTAGATCCTTCATAAAATCCGAGAACCAGGAACATATTAAAAAAAATTAATTTATTTACCTTAGATAAAATATATAAGACATAACATTTTGGGTTTATTTTTAATTTTTTATAGTGATTTTTAATTTGCTATTCATATAAAACTAAATATATCGTATGAAATACCTTGTATAATCACATGATATTTGCTATCATTACAATAGAAAACACGATGGTAATTTAAATATAATTTTACAGTAAGAATCATCCTGTATATCAAAACATTTTCTTACCCATAAATCGCAAAAATCGATTTTATTATTTTTTTAGTCGAAACAATTAAAATATAATGATCGCTTCCGTTTTTATACATTTTTTGTCTCCTATAATAATAGTTCAATTCAAAAATGCATACCGTATCAGTATTATAAGATGATTAATTTTTTTTTATCATCAGATAAATAATAATGAAATACATAAATAGCGCTATCAATAACAAAGGCTAGTCATTTTACGAGTAATTGTTATGGGAAATATACTGAAGTGGTTTAAAAAAAGTGAACAAAGTGAAAACAGTGATGAAGATTCAACAGATGATTCCGATTCTGAAGGTTTATGTGTGGATGGACCAGTACACCGACCTAACAAGAAATTTCTAGCGAAAGAAGACGCACTAAAAAATAATCCAGAAACATTAAAACAATTCGCATTTCATTTTTGTAATATTGCAAGAATTACACAGGGAATAGTAACTAGGAAAGCACTTGATCCTACCTCTAAAGACTTTCGAAACATATCACAACTGTTCACACATAATAACAAGAAATGTTTCAAGATAACAAAAATCGAAACAGTTTTAAATCCATTTTTGCTTGTGCAGTATAATATGAAAAAAAGGGTATACAAGATAAAAGAAGTTCCAGTGAAAGAGACAATATTATTTCATGGTGTTCGAAAGAGCAATATTGATAGTATTTGTAAAAGTAATTTTAATTGGAGATTGTATGGTAGGTATATAAATTTTATACTATTGTTAATCTTATTCATTATGGGTTAAATAAGTAATATTAGTAACTATTGTTGTCTAGAATAATGATAAGTTGTCTTTATACTATAAACTTTAATATTAACTTCTGATAAACGAGAAGAGTTTAAACTTTTAAAAGCTGTCAGTAAATCTTAGGTTTTGGAAAATACAAATTAAAAAACGTAGCATCGTGAACTTGATAAATTTTTTAAATTTCTTTTTAAGAATAGTCAAAATAAGATATATGTACATCCGGATATTTTTAAAAATATGTTGTTTTTTTTGAGTTCGTAGGATCCCAAAACGTAAAGATCTGGTGAGTGATTGTAATAACCTCCTTATTTTTGTGGTAAATATAGGAGTTATAATACAATATTAGAATATCCAACAGAATATAACCTGTCACTTTTTTAGAAAAGACATATGGGATCAGAAACGGTTATGCCACCTAACAATAGTATATTATGCAACGATCATGTAATGATGGTTATTAATACACGAGCATTAACCGGGATACGAAACGAGCCAAAGGCGAGTTTCGTATGGTTTATGCGAGTGTTTTAATAACCATTACATGAGAGTTGCATACGCTATTTTTTCTACACTCGATAAATAATCAAGACCTATAAATATTATATTTATATTGGTATTGAACACAATAACAGTAATTACTCGTATTTCTATAAAAAATTCTACAAAATTGTAATTAATGGTATTACTTCAGGTATTGGTATTTCCCTAGATTTTTGCGGTAAAATATTTTGTACTGTATTTTCTGCTTTCTCCGATATGTGTGGAGGAGTCTTCTATATCGCTAATATCAGACATTTTAATATTATAATTATCGAAGTTTAGCTACCTACGAAAATTTAATACGTTTTGACAACTAAAATAATTACATAGGAACCTAGGACAAACGTCAAACAGCATGCTTGATTGAAAAATTGTAGGTTTCTATTGATTAAAAATCTGTATCGTAATGAAAAATCTGTATCATAATGGGTATCATTATGAAACGGATTATGGGCATATAAGTGCATTATTATAATACGGGTGTAGAAAATAGTATATTATGCAACGATCATGTAATGATGGTTATTAATACACGAGCATTAACCGGGATACGAAACGAGCCAAAGGCGAGTTTCGTATGGTTTATGCGAGTGTTTTAATAACCATTACATGAGAGTTGCATACGCTATTTTTTCTACACCCGATAAATAATCAAGACCTATAAATATTATATTTATATTGGTATTGAACACAATAACAGTAATTACTCGTATTTCTATAAAAAATTCTACAAAATTGTAATTAATGGTATTACTTCAGGTATTGGTATTTCCCTAGATTTTTGCGGTAAAATATTTTGTACTGTATTTTCTGCTTTCTCCGATATGTGTGGAGGAGTCTTCTATATCGCTAATATCAGACATTTTAATATTATAATTATCGAAGTTTAGCTACCTACGAAAATTTAATACGTTTTGACAACTAAAATAATTACATAGGAACCTAGGACAAACGTCAAACAGCATGCTTGATTGAAAAATTGTAGGTTTCTATTGATTAAAAATCTGTATCGTAATGAAAAATCTGTATCATAATGGGTATCATTATGAAACGGATTATGGGCATATAAGTGCATTATTATAATACGGGTGTAGAAAATAGTATATTATGCAACGATCATGTAATGATGGTTATTAATACACGAGCATTAACCGGGATACGAAACGAGCCAAAGGCGAGTTTCGTATGGTTTATGCGAGTGTTTTAATAACCATTACATGAGAGTTGCATACGCTATTTTTTCTACACCCGATAAATAATCAAGACCTATAAATATTATATTTATATTGGTATTGAACACAATAACAGTAATTACTCGTATTTCTATAAAAAATTCTACAAAATTGTAATTAATGGTATTACTTCAGGTATTGGTATTTCCCTAGATTTTTGCGGTAAAATATTTTGTACTGTATTTTCTGCTTTCTCCGATATGTGTGGAGGAGTCTTCTATATCGCTAATATCAGACATTTTAATATTATAATTATCGAAGTTTAGCTACCTACGAAAATTTAATACGTTTTGACAACTAAAATAATTACATAGGAACCTAGGACAAACGTCAAACAGCATGCTTGATTGAAAAATTGTAGGTTTCTATTGATTAAAAATCTGTATCGTAATGAAAAATCTGTATCATAATGGGTATCATTATGAAACGGATTATGGGCATATAAGTGCATTATTATAATACGGGTGTAGAAAAAGTTTTTTAACTTATTTTTAAGTCATGAAATTCTAGTTTTCATTTTTTCCGAAAATAAGATCAACAGTCGTTTGAAATATATAATTACAGTTCATCAAATTTCTAGAGGTGTTCGACGCCCAGACAGAGAACGCGCTACGTGTGACTAAGATAGCTATTGTACAGTCTGCTAAACAAGTTATTTTAAATAGTTTTTAATATTTTTAGGTAATTAAATTTTAAAAGTGTGGAATAGTTTAGGGATTAAATTGGTCTGATTGGACTTTCTTAGAACGTTTTTAAAAGCAGCTAAAGATAGTATGCAGAATTGAAAATAATTATTATGCCATAAAAGGTGTTTTGGAATTCCTTCAACCTTTTGAAATTGAGTCAGAAAATATAAATTTTATAGGATAGCGGAAAATACCTATAATTTTTTTGTAGGCCTTTGTAAATCGTGGAAATAGTTTATATTTTATTTCTACCTTATTAAGGAAAATGGTACCTATTATTAATAACGGTTGTTTCTGAAACATTACTAAAATTTTCGAAATTTTGTTTTTCTACAAAATAATAAACTATACTATTTAGAAAAAAATTTATTTCTCTTATAATTTTATAAAAAATAACAGGGGAATAAATTATCTCGACGAATGACACCATGTTCTAGTACGGAAGCTAGCTTTACATTTTTGTTGGTGGTTTCATGGGTTTCATATCAATTTTTTGTAATTGCAGTTTACACGTACATATACCTCTTAACACTTGTTTGCTTTATTAAAAAAGTGTGTTGTTGTGATTTACGTCAAAATAAGTCAAAAACAACTTGAAACCCCATATAAAATCAAAAAGGAGAAACGGAAAAAAATTGAGCCTGTAAATGAACACAACTCAGAAACAAAAATAGCTATCTAATAATAAAAAAATAAAATTTGATTCTTGTGCAGCTTCATCTATATCATTAACAGTTTTTGGTTTTTTAATGGTTTTTCTTGGTGATGAAAATTCCGATATCTCACGGTTATCGATTCTTTTTTTCTCTCCAGAAATGCGGACGACAGTGTTTTTAGATACTCCTGTGGCTGCAGCAACACGATCATTTACATTTTTAAATGGTATTGAAGGTGAATTAAAGTTTCCTTCTCTTCTCATAAACTCTATAACATTGGCTATTATTTCGCGAGATTGACTGTTAATCACGCGGCCTCTTAATTTGCTATTAAACTCCATACTTAGGTTCTATTAAACTGTAATGAGCAAAAAACACAAACGAAAATAAAAGAAATGTTTTAGCGAAATTTACATCTGACATTTACGTCTGAATGAAATAGTGAAATACTTGATGCGCAGAGTGTACTTTCATTGCGTAAATCCGTCGGGATGCCTGTCAGTAGTACTTTCTCTGTCTAGCCGTCGAAAGCCTCTAGAAATTTGATGAACTGTAAAGATATAACAGAAGTAACACAAATGTTTATTAAATGAATTTTGAGTGTTTTAACACTCTTTGAAAAAAACTGAGGCTTGTCCTCTTTTAGGTATACAAAAAAATTATATTCTAAAAAAATTAATACAAATTGCAACTACAATATCTGATAAATTATTCAGGTATTCAGTGTCTTCCAGTAATTCTTTATCAGTATATTGTAGAATATGTGGGCAAGCACCAATTTATGAAATTTTATATAGCACCTTTAACAAAGACATTGTTTATTGAAATCTTATTTTTTTAAGTACTTATAATAATTTTCTTCGCAGGTACAAATGAAGGTCACAAATTCGGTAAAGGCGTAAGTTTTTCTTCTTCTGCATTTTATGCATCAAATTATAGCGATACTGGCTTTGAAAAAGTAATGATTGCTGTGAATGTACTAATAGGAAAATGTTGTGTTGGAAATGAAAATACAGAAATTCCACCTGTTGGATTTGACACCACTACAAATGAAACGCTAAATGTTTACATAAAATACGAAGATAATGAGTTCTACCCTAAATATATTATTCATTATACAGGAATAGATAAAGAACAGGAAAGCAGAATGAATGAAAAAAATGAAAGAAAAGAATTTACTTCACAACGCCCTTTAACTTTGGCCGATTATTTTAACATTCCAAAACTGAAATAGGTTCCATAATGTTTTTATCAAAAATTGTAGAAAATAGATATGTATTAATAAAGAAAACAATATAAACTACCAAAATTAAATTGTTAATTTTTAACACTATTTATGGTAATAGTCCAAATAGCACATATCAATCCAATAAATGTCCATTGATGGATACATCAGCGGTCAGAAGAACGTCCAGCATTTTACCAATGGACATCCATTGAACTATACAAATATCCCACTCATGGACGTCTATTTGGATTCCATGAAAGGTCTATGATCTATTTTTGTATTGCTTTTGGACAATTTATGGACATATATTTATTATTGTCAAAAATAATATCAATATCAATATAATATTTCTTTTATACGCACTCCCAGGGCAATTTTATAAACAAAAAAATGAAGCTCTTTCAATATCACATTTCTAAAAAAAGATCCTCAAGCAAGAACTTAGATCCTTTCTAAAAAAAAGGTCCTCACCTTGTCTTTTTCATAAACCTAGTCCTCCCTTATGTGACGAACTTCTTATAAAATAAATATAAAATAAAACGTCCTCACCTTGAGCTGCCGGGCCCCCCTTGTGCCCGGGTCCCGGGAATTGTCCCCCCAGCCCCCCCTCTCGCCGGCCCTGTCCATTCCCTTCTGTCGACCATTTTCTTATAGCTATTTCGCCATTGGTTAAAACACACGATTTTTCCATCTATGCTTTTAATTTTTTGAAATTTTAAATAATTTAATGTTAATTATTTTATTACTATATAACAAACACTGTAGTAACACATTATCAAAACTCGAACCCGTGGGCATATTTATATGCATAAATTCTTTAATAAAATAAAATGAAATTGCTTTTTTCTTCTTTGAGTCTGGAGTTGGCCCTTTAATTCGTATTTTTGTATCTTCTCAGCTTTCAAAAACTTTAATAAGGTGTCACTTGAAAAAATTTTGAGGATGACACCCCTACTGAAGGGGTTAAAGGTTTGACTATGCTTTTTGCCTCAAAAGTTGTCCCCTTGCCAAACAAACTTGACATGTTTTTGGATTTCGCTGAAAAGTTCTTTTCTACCCTGTAATGCCCAGGGCCACCGAAAGCCAGACCGGGCCCCAGGACAATTCTCCAGATCGGGCCCCGCGACAATTTTATAAAAACTTAAATAACAAAAAAAAATCTTCAACTAAGAACAACCTCTTCTGAAAGTAACAAACACCACCACTGCCGGACCCCCATGAGCCCGGGCCCCGGGAATTTGTCTCGGCTGCCCCCCCCGCCCCTCTAGTCGGCCCTGGACTAATGCCTTTCGGTACGTTTTCGATGGACCACCCTGTATAATATAAGATTATTATATAGAAAGATCTAACATACAATCACCCAGTAATTCTAGAGTTCTAGTTATTTACTCAAAACATCAATACTTGTTATAAATTAGTGTAGGTTCAGGGTTCAGGATATTCAGGGAAATATAAAAATATTGCGCCAAGATATAGGCAACACGTAATAGGGTATCGAAATGGCAATATTTTCTATCTCCTTTTACAAGACACTCAGAAAGTATGTAGCTATTTCATTCAAAGCCTGTAGAATGTTGGTTTGTTCAAAAATGTAAAGTCATAGTTTTTGAATAAAATGTTTTTTTCATAGAATGGCGAATGAATTTTTTTTAGCCATCTACGAGACTGTAAGGTGTATTAATTATTGGAATTGTAGTTTAGCTCTTATAACGTAGAGGAAAACTGAAATCCTGTTAGACAGATTATAAATGAATTTACGAGATGGCAGCACCAGTCTTATTAAAAAATATATTGATTATTTACCCTCCATACATTGTATAAAGAACAATGATTTAGGACAGCGTTACTTAAAGTGTGGTCCGCAGAGCTTCGGGGCAGTAATCTATGCTCGGGGCTATGCAGAAATTTTTAAATGGAATACAGTTTTTTGATAAAGCTAATAATAAAAAAGTTTTCCAACTTACGTAGACACACTGTATATATAATTATATAGATTGCTCTAAACGATTCCTTTTGCGAGCGACCATATTGTCTCGCAAGTGCTCAATAAAATTTAAAATGTCTTTTAAAACCAACCAATTTTCAACTTTTGAATGTTGTAAAAAAATATAATAAATAATATTTTTCCTAATTCATCCCCTTGCGTGAGAATATCAACCCGACTTTAAGATGCTTATGGTGCCATTTGATTTACAGATGGGAAAACTCGGAAAACCTCATCATATCAATAATTTGGATGATCAGTCTATATTACTATCTACATCATTGACCTGTCAAATCACCAGGCTCACAGGGTTGCCATATCGTAACATCTGTAATATATAAGTTAATTCGTTTAAAAGCTTGAATAATACTGATATTCATTAGAAATAATAACTATATATTGACATCATGTTTATGTATATATTTTTAAAATAGTATTTATTAATGAAGATGAAAAAGATAATCAAAATCTTGTCTCCATCTATGAGTTAAAACACGTACTAATGTGACAGCTAACAGTAGCCATTTAAGTTTTTTGACGTTTGCAAATACAAGCATCGTTTTTGTAACCTCAAAATTAAGTTTTTAAATAGAAATACCCGAAAAAAATGGCAAATACAAACACAGATCTAACAGAAGAAGATGCCGCCGACTTACAATTTCCCAAAGGTAAGAATTTTAACTTAATAAAAATTCGCCGACAGTAGACACATTATTGAAATTTCAGACGATGACCTCTCAACCTTTTCTAGCTGTAATATTTTCGAAAACAGCGATTCAACTTATTGCGCAAACTGTTTCAGTGAAGTACAAAGTAAGTACATTTTGTGTGAAAAGTGTAAAGTGCCTATTTGCCTGACTTGTTTTTCTAACGGGATAGAATTTTCAAATCACAGAAACGATCATGATTATAGAATTTTATCTACGAATTTCGTGCTCTTCGATAACTCTGATTGGACTGCAGAGGAAGAATTAAAGTTATTAGATGGAATTAGTAATTATGGGAATTGGAATACTATAGCTGAAGATTTTCCTAATAGAAGTGTTAATGAAATAATCGATCATTATGATTATTTTTATTTAGATAGGCGTGGTTGTGAAGGCTTTCCTAAAGCAGAAAATAGAAACGCCGTTTTTCAAGAGTTAGTAGTGCCTTACAGGTTTAATCTATCTGATAATGATGAACCTCCTCGCTACCTATCAAACACTGTAGGGTATAAATCTTTAGCTGGATACAACCCAGCCAGATCTGACTTTGAGAATGAGTTTGATAAAGGTGCAGAAGACATTCTATCCAATTTGGAAATAATAGATGAAGAAGATCCACAATATGAGCTTCTTACTAACTTACAATGTTCTTTGGTAGAAAGTTATAATAGAAGATTAAGAAAACGCCAGAGATGGAAAAACTTGATTAGAGATCATGGGTTGTTGTTGGTTAGAAAAACTTATTCTTGGTTGCGGAGATATGACAGTACAATACATAAAAGTGTTTATGAGAAGCTTATAAGATTTATGCAGGTGTGTGAGCCTGCTAAATTTGATATGTTAATGGAGGGACTGCATAGAACTGGTGAATTAAGGCTGCAAATAACAAGGTTAGTGGATTATTATAATATATATAATTTTATATTTGCTTACAGCATTACAAATGGCACTTATATATCAAAGTATGTTCATTGTTCTCTGTGCTTAGTGGATAAGTCCTACTTTTCTTTTAAATGCATTTCTTTGCTCTTCTGTTGGCCTTAGAACCGTATCGTGCCATATTGGTATTATAATATGGCAAATTAATGTTGTAACAACCAACACCACTAGAGGAAATTTTCTTCTAAATTTTATTACATTAAATTTTCTTGGTTTTCGATCTGGTTTTAGCATCATGTTTGAAACATAAATATGTACCTACATTTCTATTTGTGATGACATTTCTGTGATGACATCTGAAAATGTGGCTTGTCTATTAATTTAGCCATAGAAAAATAATTGTATTTTCATAGTTATGAAAATTGTATGAATCAACCTATGAATTCAAATGAAAACTTCTATTTAATATTAATGCAATTGAATAAAAAATAATATTTAAGATAAACTTTTCCATACATTCTGTAGTATGTTTTGAAAACTCAGGTATTAGGCCTCATTAAGTTAGTAGAGATATCTGCAAAAAAAGTTGAGAAGGTGTAGGTAACTTATTTATAAAATCAAAATTACTTACTTAATAAATTATCAAATAATTTGAAATTAACTCCCAAATTAGCACAATCTTTGGGGACATTATCTGTAATTTTGTTCAATTTTCATACACTATTAGTGATTTTTGGGTATTTAATGAGGCATTTAATATTTTTTTAAACTAAAAGTTTTGCTATCTTAATCTCTGTTATTCATCATGTAATTCTGATCAAACTAATGCCATAATTTTGTGTTTTTTTGGGCATATGTGTACACTGAGAGATATATTAGTGGTATTTAAGAAAATAATGTTATTGAAACAAATGTTTTGAATCCAATGTCTATAATATAATAAACTTTAAATAGGAGACTTGTCCAGTTGTTCATGATTTTTTTATAATCATTTATTAATACATAGTTGGGAAAAGTGAGAATACATAAAAAATATGTCAATTTGCAATAAATAAAGTAAATATTGCTAAATATTAAAAAAACAAATTGAATTTCAGTTTTTATATTGTTTGTTGAAATGTACCTACTAACCTAGTTCATAAATTTAAAATAATGTTATCCCATAATTTACAAAAAAATCCAAATGAAGAGTTCAAATTGATTAATTAAAATAAAATTATAATTTGAAAATATTTAATATTTAATTCATGATAAAATAACATCATAATCATTATATTGATATACTTGGATCAGTTACCTAATACAAAAACTCAATACTTCTAAATTTTAATTTATCTTGCAAAGTTTATGTTTTACTATTATTTTAAGGTTAATAAATTTAAGAAGAGTAGGCATCACAACGCTAGCTGAAGGTCGGCTCTACCTCAAACTCAATAAAATCCACGAAACCAACAAAAAATCCCTGAAAATCTTCAGGTCAAATCCGGCTTTTAATTGGAAATACTCCAAAGACACTAACGTGACGTTGTTGTCGAAATGCAACAAGCGCAGGAGTTTCGCTCCCATAGAAGTTACCGGCATGCCCGGTTATTCCAAATTATCCCAAAAAGAAGTTGAACTGTGCAGTACCGCTCGATTGGTACCAGTCAGTTACTTTCATTTAAGAGAAACTTTGGTATCTGAGTACAAGAAAACTGGTTCTGTGTCTTTGCAGACTGCGAGAAGGCTGTTAAAAATCGATGTTAATAAAACTAGGAAATTATATGATTTTTTGTTACAAGAAGGATATATTAATAAGGATCCTGTTTGATTTTTTCATTATTAATTTTATTTATATTATATATTTATTATATATGGATGGAATAAATTCAGTAAATAAATCTGAGTTAATATTATCTTTTATTTACCTGTTATTTATCCCTTTTTACTTTCCTATCTGTACACAGATAAGGAAAGTATAGGAATCGAGTTTTTGAGGGATTTTTACGTTTTGGGGTCCCCTGAATTCGTTTTGACTATTTTTGCGATGATTGTGTGTTTGTATGTGTGTCTGTATCCCGATAACTCATGAACGGATACAAAGAAAACCAAAAATTTTAAACTTGGGCTTTATTCCGGCCTACGATGAACTATTTTGATTTTGGGCAGAGTCTAAACATCTGGGGTGGTAATTTTTATATTTTGTAGAATATATATGTTATTTACGTTTAGAGAAGAAAATGCTTCAAATAAAAGTTAATTCTAATATTATTCTCTATAATTCTTGTTATATACAAAATTTTCCTAAAATGGTCCGTATTCGAAAAATTTGACAAAATATAAAAAAAACAATTTTTTATGAAAATTGTTCAAATAAAAGTTGTTTGTGATATAATTCACTATAATTCTTGTACTATACATAATTTCTCTAAAATGGACCGTATTCGGGATATTTGAGAAAAAGTGTAAATCGAAATTTGAAGAAAACTCAAAAACGGATATAGATAGAAACATTACATTTTAAACTTAAGCTTTATTCCGGCCTAAGGTGATCTGATTAGATTTTGGGCAAAGTTAGATTATCTGGGGGGTACTTTATAGAGGGTCGTTTTTATATTTTATGAAATATTTCCGTTATTTACGTTTGGAGAAAAAAAAATTGTGCAAATAAAAATTACTTCTAATATTATTCTCCATAATTTTTGTTATAAACAAAATTTTCCTAAAATGGCCCGTATTCAAGAAATTTGACAAAATGTAAAAAATTCAAATTTTTATGAAAATTGTTTAAATAAAAATTGTTCTTGTCCCATACTAATTTTTCCAAAATGGACCGTATTCAAGATATTTGAGAAAAAGTGTAAATCTCGAATTTTAAAGAAAACAAAAACGGATAAAGAGAAAAACAAATTTTAAATTTAAGCTTTATTCCGGTCTGAGGTGAACTGATTAGATTTTGGGCAGAGTCAAATCATCGGCGAGGGGGGGGGGTAGGCGGGGCGGTGGCCTTTAATAACTAGTTAGGAAAGTCATGTGTTGGACCCATCAGATTTTTATTTATTTGTAAAAGGCCTGGATACAAAAAATAAGACTAATCAGATGTATGTAAATAATTTGAATATTTTATAGATTGTTACAGAAAAAATTAATAGTACTCTAATTTTAAAAATGAATGAAATAGAAAAAATTTTTTTTACGAACAAATATTTTTTTTTACGAACAAATATTTTTTTTTGTATACATTAATCATAAAAAAGTATTACTATAAAAATATAATATTAGATTGTCCTTTCATTCTCCACATTCTCATCATCACTATCGATTGATTCCGTAATAAAAAAAAATAAAATAAAACTCAGCCATGTGTCACAATGGCTTTAATATTTAATTATAGGCACTAAAATATTAATAAAATAGAGATACCTGCAATATTAGACGATGCTTAAATGGAGGACTTTGAGGCTCATCAAATTGGCTAGCGGTCACAAGGTAAATGTCTAAATGTAAACTAAATTGGTATGTCAACAATCAACAAATGGGTCAACAATCGGAAAAAACGAATGTCGTGGTCCCAAACATCATTCGACATTTATGCAAAAGAGACGGTACATTTGAATTTTTCTAAATAGTAATTTCACGAAATTATCATTTATAACAACTACATCAAAAATTTCCTAATAATAGTAAGAGGAAACGACATCCCAATCTTCAAAAGAGGAGATCGACAAGATAAACATAATCAAAATTGGTTTTGTAATATTTAAATCAGTCAATTTTGCTCTCTAAAAAATATATTTCAAACTACCTATCGAAACTAAACAAAAATTAATTCTAATAATAAAATAAAATTTTTAAAACCATTTAACCAAAATGAAACTGTAAAATTCCACCTTGCTAAACTGGACTAGATATTTTTTTATAGAAGCATTTTAAATAATTAAACTGAAAACCATTTTTATATTATTTGCACGCTCGAAAGCCAATTTTCAATTTGAATATTGTTTACAAACAATGCAACTATTTTATAAGTTTTTCATATTGCCAGTTAATAATTAAAACGGAATTACCGTATTTGAATCAAAACTGGAAATAAAATATCTGCAATAATGAAATCTGACTGCATTATTTTTTATTTGTTTTGTATATCATTTTTAATCGTTACCGTTATGTAAATATTACTGTTGGGCATGTTTATTGATTGTAAAAAGCTTGTTTAAATATTTTCTCTCTATTTAATATATTTTTGTATTAATGAATTTTTCAGTATTTTGATGTATTAACTTACCTACTTAGGTAATTAAATGTAATGACAATATAACTTCCAAGGTACTGTATTAGTATATAGGGTGTATCTAAATAATTAACACCGAAAAAATTAAAGGGGTGATTCTGTGATGAAAATGAATGTGAGTGTTTGGTATAAATTTTTTTGAAAAAACCCTCCCCGGAAAAGTTACACCCCTTCGAAAATTAAAAAAAATAATGGTTTTTCTCTGTATATGAAGCTAAAGACACGAAACTTGGTAAACATTATCTGTCAATAAAAGTACACTTTTTGAAATTTTTTCAACCCTGAAGTATGCTTAGAAGGGGCTGAAATAATCAACCCCTAAGATATTTTTTCTTACAATTTTTTTTTAGATGAAAATGTTTTCTTTAAAAAAGTGTGACTGAAAAGCCCAATTTCGGTGTTATTTAGATACACCCTGTATTACATTAAGACAGTATAATCAGAGTTCTGCGATTTTTTTTAAGATAAAATACAATATTTTCAAAATAATTAAATACTATATAATATATCTAAATTAATTTGCCTATACCTACTTTTTTGATTAGATGCTAATTCATTTGACAGTGTTTTGGATGGCGCTAATGTGGTTCAATTCCAGATGGAAGTATTTTAACATCAAATCGATTTTTAGGTCGTCTACCTTTAATATAAAAATTAATGCTTATATTTGACAGCTTAAGCGGAGTTTCTTATACCTAAATTCATATCCATACATGAACTTTTCTATGTAGCCGTAGAAAAACTAATTTGGGTAAATTCTTTATAGTGTTTTAATTTTACGTTTGTTAATGTAGTTATTATGTAGTCAACTGTAAGTCACCTCGGATCGCCATTTTGAAGATTCATCGTAAGGAGAGAGTATTATTATTATTATTATTATTAGTAATAAAGTCTCTCAACTTTATATAGAAAGAATTGGTAGTACGAGGTCATCGCAATAACTTCTGTACGCGTAGATTTTTCGAAATCCATTTTTGAAATGTACTTATTTTAGAATTTGAAAATGCCGAAACGTTGCTTATTTCCGAGGTCCATATGCTGTTAGAGCATAGAAAGGATCAAAATGAATCTGCAGAAGATGAACAAGAATTTTCGGATGTCTTTATGAAAACCTTGACGTATACTGATAGATTTCGCAAATTTAAAAACAAGGAAACCATATCGGCTGTTAGAAAGTAAGTATTTTTTTTTCAAATATAATTTTTATTTATTAGTTCATATCACATTTTAAAAATATTAACATTTGTACAATTTTAACATTTTTTTTAACATAAACTCCTATTTCAATTTGAACTCCAATTATGATTTATCTTGAAGTCTCTATACTATTATTTTATTGCAAAATTTTTCGGTACCCGTTAAACGTGAACCCACTTGATCCAGATTTCCAGATCCTTTTAGTCACAACGCATTTTCCCGACCGATCTTTCTTCTTTTTGTTTCAACAATCTTTTCAATTTCATTGTCTTGTTATGTACGTCTACAAAACGGCAGGTAATGATATTTTCAGTTTTACTTTTTACTTATATAAGTAACAACTCGAAATGAGATTACGAAAGTTGCTTGGGGAAACTTTATGAAGTAGCTTTGAGAGGCGAGCCCGTTTCGGGCGAAGTTTTCAGATAGATCGGGCGTCGTCTTGGTTTAAGCGGTTTTCGATGTTCAACGAAACGATTTTTTTCAACTCTTATTATTCACCTGACAAGAAAAATAAATAAAATTTAATATTGTTTAAGTAAATAACGTTCATTTTCTCGATCGATAATGGTTGAATTGTTCGATAAGATTAAAATATAAGCACAGGAATATAAAATCATCAGCGAACTCAATGCTCTGCTCTTTATGATGAAAAATTAATCGGGATCCTTGTATTTTGTTTTTCTTGATTATTTTTTACAGGTTGAATAAGTTGAATGTATATTTTTTATAGCAGTACATATTCTAAATTAATCTAAATACCACTCTATATAAAGTGACGTTAAAACTCCACTCCCAAAAGAATCTAGTTTTAGTAAACGGTATGAAACAAAAAAGTCATATCGTTACTTAATTTTTTTTTAGTTTATTAATGCAAACCAAAAAATTACACAAATTTGAATTGGCCGCTATTGCGAATTTGTGCCCAGAAACCACTGAAGAGGCAAAATCTCTAATTCCTTCCCTGGAAGGGCGGTTTGAAGACGAAGAACTTCAAGCTATATTGGATGATATTCAAACGAAGAGGAGTATACAGTATTGAATGTTTTAGGGTTTTCTTTATATTTAATTAGGCATAAAGGATTTCGAAGAAATAAAAATGTGTCCCAATAAGGATATTATGAATGTTTTTCAATATTGAATGTTTTAGGGTGTTAATATTTAAGCAGGTATAAACGAGTTTGAAGAATTAAAAATGTATTCAGTGAACATTGAGTTTTTTTTAATATAAATATTTTTTATTTTTATTTTGTTTTATTTTATTTTCAGCAAACATTTCAGGATTTATACATGTTGTTAAAATGGTGAAAATAACCCTATTAAAAAAAATTAAACCTTAAATTGCAGCGCTATCATTTTTCTTCTTCACCGTGCTCCTCTAGATCGTTAAAAAATAAAAGGCTCGGGCTTAACAATTTGGGGCTTATTAGCAACTATAATAATACTGGAAACTTACACTATACCTGATAAATATAACTGATTAATATGTCGTTGTTTTCCAAAAGTGGAAGGGTTAACGTTAATATTTTAAAACTGACGCAACTGCCATCTAGCAGTTGCGAGTGGATATAAAATTACGCCGTTGTTATACCGTATAAAGAGACTAATTTGGAAACTAATAACATATTAAAATCAAAATTTTGCCCTTGCGTCATTGTTTTATCGTAACGGCGATGTAAACTTTGGACGAAAGTGTAAAAATTGGCATTTATAAATTAGGGAGAGTATTATTATTATTATTATTATCAATTGTCTAAATCAGTGGCGACTCGAGGTATAGTCTACGAAGAGGGTGGCACATCCTAGTACTTAATACAAATATATTTCTATTAGAATACAATGTAATATTTCAGCTTCTTATATTTAAATAAAAACATATTTGTATTAAATAGGTATATAGCCTTTCAAAAGTAGACTAGGCCACGAGGCGCCTCTGCTCAAAACAAAATCAAACAACACTTTTAAAATAATATTAAAAATAATTAAAGATGTTTACCTCTAGCACACAATACCTAACTTTACAAACTAAGGTAACTTTTAAACAATTTGTAGACAATATTTTCTAATATTTCCAGTAGTTTGTTATGTTTAACTGTATCAAATGCTTTTGCGAGATCTACAAAGATGTATAATGAAGGTTTTTTTGTCTATTCAGGTATTTATGAACTTTGTCAATCTTGCAATCGCATCTGACGTTGTTTTCTCGCGAAAGCCATATTGTTTATTAAAAAATGATATCCTTTTTTTTATTATTTTTCCTACACTGGAAATTATTAAAAATTGGTCGATAATTAATAAAATTTAACTTATCCTCTTTTAGATTTAGATTTTATTTTGGATCAAATAATGCTAAAAAATTTATTTTATAAATTCTACGTCACTGATATATGATGTTATATTGAGGTTTATCTCCTGGGTCATAAAAATTTTGCTATCATTCATTTTCAAATAAACTATAGTAGGTAATACATTTATGGTACAAAACTTGTTATGTTTCTTCGGGCCAAAATACGCCATTTATTTATTATCAATTCTTTGATTTGTATAGAATTGACTACATACTTGATTTAAAAGAAATTGAGTGAGGCTAGACTTAGAATTTATTTTATAAGGTCACTGCCAAATTTTGATATTAGCCTATGTGGCCAATATATATTAAATCACTATAATTTTTCCTTTTGTTCAAATTTACTCGCAATTTTTAGATATAATTTTTCTTCATTAAAATTTTAAGAAATCCGAATATCTCACAAAATTTCCCGTCAGTCAAATTCCGCATGATATATCCAAAAATAAATGTACCTATAAATAACGTCACTCAATAAATTGACATATTAAATATCCCATATAGAAAGGTAAATATTATTCCAACGCCTAAAAATAATCAAATTTGCTTGAAGTGCACCGATTCAATTATACGTGTATCCAAAGCGGACCCACATTTGTCAAAGCAATCAATATTTTCTTATTCCGGTTTATAAAAAGCTCTCTGCGTGCTATTTTCAGTGGAACTTTTTCGTACGCAAAGATACTGGAAAGTCATTGAAAATCTTTTTTCACGGACATTTCCGATGATTCATTTTTAATTTTCTTATAGACGAAGCTACACTGAAAATGCACTTCTATGTTTGCAAGTAAAAATACCTAGTTCATATTTTTTTTGGTAGTTCGTGATAAGTTTTAATAGATGAATTTATTCAAAAAAGTTTGTAGAATCAAAATACAAAACTTTGAATTACTTCTTGAGATAAGTATGTCTGCGAGCCACTCTCCCTCAAAACCAATGTGGTTCCAGACTTTTTGTACTTAATATACACAAAAATAATTTAGCTCTTTTTTATCTTTTGTCCTAAAAGAGTGTGCCTTAGTACGCTTTAATATATGAAATTAGCACGCCTAGAAAATATCATGAAAGTAATAAAATATAATAATTATGAATATGGGCCCGTTATATCTATACGTACTTTACAATTTCGGTATATTTTTTCAGTGAGCAAAAACTGTTTTATAATAATTTTTATACGAGTCGTCTATGATTTTCAAGTATCCAAGACAACAATGACCAATCAAGAAATTATTTGTATAGAATTAAAAAAAAGTGCCTATTTGTGAATTTTAAGTGGTATATGCATAGCTCTATGTCCCACCAGTTTTAAAACACCCTGTATATATCCTACATGTGTATATTCACAGAATAGCGTGTACTGTTTGGGCTACAATAATTATCTATTTGATTCTATGACAAACAAATATTTTCTAAAAGTTACAGTAAACATCTTGAAACATAGTTTATTATCTAAAGCAGTGGTTTTTTTATTTAAGACATTATTTGTATAGATCTAATGTACAGTATGGTTCAAATGAAAGGAATAAATTCATTATAATGGAAGTAGCTGGTTTTTCGAAAAAATGCTCGGACAGGTCAATTTTGTTTACTTAAAGCGCAATTTTTTAAATAAAATTCAATTTTCCCCAACTTCCCATTTTTGGGCAGTGACGTCATTGACAATTTTTTTAAATAGCAACCCCAATTTTTTTTTCTTGATTTTGATAGATCTTGCAATTTCCTACTTGGAAACGTAATATTTGAAATATCTGACATAACAATTTTTTTTTAAAAAAAGTCATTTCAAGATCAGATACATAAATTTTATGTTATTTTGAAACACAATAAATTAATAACAGATAATTATTTGTAATTAAATGCTTAATCTAACAAAATAATAATAAAAAAAATAATAATAAAAAGAATTTGTGAAATTGTCATTAAATTCGTTTTATTATTATTATTATTATTATTATTTTAAATTAAGCACTTAATTACAAATAATTATCTTTTATTAATTTATTGTGTTTCAAAATAACATAAAATTTATGTATCTGATCTTGAAATGACTTTTTTTCAAAAAAAATTGTTGTCAGATATTTCAAATATTACGTTTCTAAGTAGGAAATTGCAAGATCTATCAAAATCAAGAAAAAAAAATTGGGGTTGCTATTTAAAAAAATTGTCAATGACGTCACTGCCCAAAAATGGGAAGTGGGGGAAAATTGAATTTTATTTAAAAAATTGCGCTTTAAGTAAACAAAATTGACCTGTTCGAGCATTTTTTCGAAAAACCAACTACTTCCATTATAATGAATTTATTCCTTTCATTTGAACCATACTGTACATAGAAGTAGATACATATTAGAAAATAATTGAATTTTAGAATAAGTATTATAAATGTTACAGTTTTCTAAGCCCATTACTAAATATTAAAATCTCCATACGTCAGCGCGCTCTTATCACAAATCCTAAATCCGTTTTAAATCCTTCGCGCCATATGTGAACGATTAAACGCACTATATATTTCCTCTAAATTGAGAATCATCGACATCGTAATCAAATAAATAATATTTTTCGAAATCCTCTCGCCAAGGTGACAATATTTTACATTTACGTGAAGTGGGATATTAAATCTTCATTTGTTTTTATTCGGATATAGAGACGTCCAATGACGGTGAACGCGGACGAAACGAAGCGAGAAACACCGATCGGCGTCGCGCTTCAACGTCGGCAGCGTTGCCACGTATTAGCGAATATCTAAAAAAATGTTTTTAAATAAAACTAAAAAATTGTGGGGTATTTGATCATCCAATACCCTATTTAAGGTGTGGGTTTTAGGGGTAAGAATCCCCTCGTAAAAAAATTAGAAAAAACTTTGAAATAAAAAAAAAAATTAAATTTGAAAGTAATTAATTAAAGATAAAAATGGAGAGATATTTCAAATGAAATCTCAAATTAAAAAACCAAGAAAATAAAATAAGCAAAAATCCAGCGATTGGCAACACTGGATTGTATTTATTTTATATTTTTCTATACTTTTCTTCTGTAATTCATTATTTTGGCTATTTTTTTTATCAAATTTAAAAATAAGTGTAAGTAAAGCACTTTTCCAAACTGTTGGCGCTGGTTAAATGTTTGTATCACTCGTGTTCGTCTACTACACCTAACAAATATGACATCTAAATGTCATAAATGAGACTAAAGCAAAAATAAACACCATTTAATTTTGATTAAAAATCACAAAAATGAGCATAATTGCATTTTTTACAAGGATAATTTGTCGCTTGTTTGTAGGACATATTTCAGTTCCGTTAAAAACAAAAGCACAGCTAGATGAAGAAGTAGAACTACTTGTGTCCAACATGGGCATTATACGCGACTTATTGTTCAGCGAACAACAGGAAATACCTGTCCTAAAGAAATAAGGGACACAATCTCTGCAAAAAGAAAACTAAGGAGAAAATGGCATTAGACCAGAGCTCCATCAGATAAAACCAAACTTAACAAACGCCACCCAGCAGTTAAAAAGAAAAATAAAACGAATCAAAAATAAATCTATTTGTACCTTAGTGACTTGAAAAACGATAAATCCACTGATTATTCTCTATAGAAAGCCACAAAGCGATTAAAAGGGCTCACTTTGCAGAATGCTTCAATCGTAAATACAGATGGCAGATGGACTGAATCTGATTTTGCTTGAGGACCTTTACTATATTTTTTTTTGAAACGTCACATAGAAAGGACTTGATTTTGTATAAAAATGCCCCGGGGCCCACCATGGTTCTCGGCCGCCCTTAATATTTTTATTCCTACTCGTAATACCAAGAAATTACAAATATTTAATTCCTAACATTTGTATTCCTCGAATACTTAGATAAATAAATTAATTTTTCTGTTAATTTTAACCTTATTGAAGCCAATAATTGGACTTTCAACACTTGCTTTCATTGTAGAGTACAATTTAAAAATGACGCGAGTAGATTATACATCCGGCAACTCCGCACAGCGGCGCCAATCCAGTTACATGAGCGCGACTTTATTGTGAGGATGTTTCCCGCATCGACACCGTCTGTCTAGTTATTGGTCCTTGTACCGCTCCGGCGATTACAAATTGTTTTATCAGCGAATGTGAAAAATCGTTTGATAACTGAAATACGCACATGGGCAGCGTGTAAATAAAAACTACGTAATTGGAGAGAAAAAAAACTCACTTGTGCCAGAGCAGTGTTTTTGTTTTTGTTTTTTTTTTGTTTTTTAAATCTGATAAAGGATATATACAATTTTTGTTGGTTTGTGAATTTTTTGTTTGTTGAATTTTGTGAACTTTGTACAATTTTTAAATTTTGGTGGATACGTTTGCGGAAGAATATTCAAATTCCTGTCGTGCATGTTGAAAGGGCATATATATTTGTATCGGTAAGTTTTAAAAATGTCTCTTATTTTTGTACGCCTTGGTTGTCATATCGACTTTTCAAAACTTTCATAAACTTAAGTTTTATTTTTCTAATAATTATTATTATCGTGTAAAATACAGTTATTTTCTATATTGATAGAAAATACCACAGGCGCCAACGTAGATACTGTTTTGCGGTTATTTTTCTAAAAAAATTAGTTAACGCTAACGTACACTAATATTAGGATTCTGGGAAATATCCTATAAACTACAAAATCTGTAAGATATAGTAATTTTTTACAGATTTTGGCTTACAGATCTTATAGACTATCTCAGAGTCGAACCATAAAAGGTAGGAACTTTGCTAACGTTAATATATTTTTTTTATTATAGAAATAACTTGCCAATACATATTAGTATTTAGTAGACTCAAAAAAGCAACTTGCTAGTAGAAAAAATATATTTCATTGTCCCAAAAAGAAACTTATAGCCCGTACATTTTTAAATAGAACCTATACATGTGGAACTTTCTATATACAGTATGTTTAATTAATAATATGGGGCATAGAGTGATAACAGAATGTTTGGAGCAAAATATAAGGAATTTAGTAAAGCAGTGCTACATCGTGTAAAAGTTAAATTTTTTTTCGTGTTGTATTTTATTTCAAAATGTCTAAATACGATATTTTTTCCTGATATTTTGTTAAAACATTTGATTCAATTATAGTTTGATCCAAACAGATATGGTTTCTCTATGACCCATTATTATTTAAACGCCCTCTTTATTGGATGATTTATTTTAGTGACTCTAACGTTAGGGTTTTAACAAACACAGTTATTGGCATAAATAAGTTATTTATTAAAATTTATTTTTAGTAGGTAGGTACATTAAAAACATAAAAAACTTGTATATACAAACAATTCAGTTAGGATTTATTATTAACTAAAAATAAAATAAATAAAAATATGGAAATTAACATTTTTGTTTCTTAAAATATTTTCTTTCATTTCAAAAAAAATTATCCTCAAAAAACAGTGTTAGTATTTTGACCGAATCATAGGTCTAATTCTTTCGATATATATAATCATTTTTTTTTATTAAAACGGATCTACCTGTATAAATATTTTATAAAGGTTACCAAAAAATTCAACTAAGTTCTGTTAAGGTTTTAAAGAATACTTTTTATTAATTTAACTTAGAATGAACCCTAATAATAATTATAATTTTGTCCTACTTATCAAATATATAAGTAAATAAATTGGGATAACAGCAGCGGTTGACAATAATTTTATAAAGTCGGCAATACAACAAAATTATTACATTTAAAACTCTTGAAAAACGTATTTTAAAATTTTGTTTGATTAATTCTGTGTACAAATTTTACTCATTTTGAAGTGTAACATTGAACTAAGGTATCTAAACAAATAGGTATATGCGACTGATAAATTTATTAGCATTATAATCAATCGATATCATGATTTGCGATCTAAATTTAAGTACCTAATAGAATCTTTATCAATTTGTCTAAAGGTGGTTTTAAGATTTTTCGCCCAAAAGTATAACTTGATAATTATATAATTATTGAAAATATCTTAGATGTAAATTTATTAGAAATTATGATAAGCTACCTATAAAATTATGGGACTACTGAAAAAGAAAAATGAAGATTTGTATTCTATTATAAATTTAGACTAACAACAGCAAAAAATGCAAATGCAAAATAAACTACATAATAATTGTAAAATAAATGTTTTTAGGTTTCAAATTTTATTTGTACAAGTCTAAAGTAAGAGAATTAGACTTCAGGTAAAAGAAATGTGGAGATTGGATATATAGACATTTCTATTACATATAAAATAATTATATTAGGAATAATCCCAGATAACAATTATACATTCTTAGCATATTCTTAGTATATACTTTTTAAGAATATGCATATGCTAAGAATATACTTTATTTGCATTTAGTACATTCTCAGAATATACTAAGCATATGTTACGTGACGTTGTTTATACGTGCTTGCAGATACTGAGAATGTACTTCAAGTATGTGTACAGTATACAATAAGTATCTACTTTAATTTGATAGTACGTTCTAAGTATATGCTAAGTATTTAAATACATCATATGCTAAGCATATACTAGACACCTCAATACATGATATTTTATTAATATTGAACTTTAAAAAAATAAGTGTATATAATAAAAGTCGTGACCATTTTTTAAATCTTTATTTCAAAAAATTCATACCTATTCTTATTTTTATTAAAAATTCTTTCTTTGTCCTTAACCAACCAATATTTTATTGTATCAATGGCTAAAAATTTGCTAAAAAATAAAAAAATCGTAAAACGTAGAACATTAAAAAATTATACATGGCATTCCACTAACAAAAACAAAAGTTACATAAATAGTTATTATGTTTGATGAAAGTTTAAATATATTTTTGTTAATTACTTACCACCATTTTGTAGTTTTCGTCCTCGTTTTGCTAATTTTCTAGTTCTTCCAGGTCAATTTCTGGCCTTGCAGGATTTTTTCATAGAAAGCGTGTATGTAATTCTGGTAAAACCATATTAATAAATTCACACTGGCAATTAATATTTGGGATATCCCCGAATAATCCGTCTATGTAATCAGCTTATTACAGAATTGATAAAAGCTTAATTTTAAAATTTAGTAATTTTCTTTAATCGTTTTTAAGTTAACGTTGATACAGACACAAGAACACCATTGCGAAAATGGTCAAAACATATTCAGGGAACACCAAAACATTAAGATCCGTCAAAAACACTATGATTCCTATATTTTCTTTACTAGATAGGCACTGGAAAGTAAAAAGGTGATTAGTTAAAATTTAATTTAACCCAAGGAATTAGTTATTGACTAATTTTATATTCAAGCGAATAATAATACATTTTCTTGGAACGTTTTTAGTTTTATTTACACATATGTAGATTAATCCACAACTTTGATAAGTTGATATCTCTCTTATTCGTTTCTCGTTTGTTTTCTTATCGAATGTCGTGTTTACATGTCAACTCGGTCAAAGGCGGAACGTGCGGTCTGACATGCCGGGGTTTCGGTTTTAGTTTTGAAACATGCATATTGACTTTGAGTTACAAGTACAGATCCATCAACTTTACCCGTATCACACGTGAATAAATAATACAGATACGGAAATCTACAAGCGGACCATCTCTTTTACAATGAATTGGACAAGGTATAATAGGACCATGCGTTAAACAAATAAAAATCGCTGATTGGCGCACGATATGCATCAAATGAAGACTAGAATTTATTGTTATAAAAAAACATAATTCTTACTTTCTCTTCTGATCAGATTTTTCGGAACGCATTCATATTGGGTAGTTGTCAGACATTTATCATTAAAACTCTTTTTTTTTAATTAAACACAAATAAAACTTTAATATAACTAAAATTTGCAAAATTTAGATAACTATATAACTAACGTATCTCACTACATCTAGAGATAGTGAATATATAACAATGCATGTCTTCTGTGGTCTCTGCAACATTTATCTAATCCAATTCAGTCGCGAAAGGGTCAAGAAATAATGTAGAAATCACACTTGCGTAATAAATTGGATTAATTTCAGATTAGTCATGTTGAAACAAATCTCAGGTATATAACTCATGTAAAAGTTGTAATTGTAATGGGATTAATTAAAGAAGGAAACTGTTGTTTTTTCACATCCTTTGAAAAACCCAGGGTTTTGTCGCTGTTTGGCTATGTGATGGGAACTTCATAGTCTTGTTAGCGAGAAACAAATCGATTTCATTGTAGCAAACGTTTCTTCTTAGAAAATCGTGGCCAGACTATGTTTAACTTTTTGTTTCTCTCCTTTTTTTGTTTTGAAGCCGTTCTTGTATAGTTGATAATCCGCCTGGAAGAGGGCTTTATTCCCACCGTTCCATACGTCTATCTCAATTATCACATAAAGTGAATAATTCTGATAAATTGAACTATCATGACATATGCCATAAAAGCGTTAACGAAACAACAATAATATCTGATAAATTGACAAGATCGATTAACATGAATTTAAGACAAACAACACGCAGTGCTACCCGTGCTACATAACGGCAAAAGTTTCAATTAAATTCAAAGTGAATAAAGGTCTGAGGCGGGGTAATCCATTATACTCGTACTGTTCAAACTAATATTCGAAACAATTTGGAGTAAGCGAAATATACAGAACAATATACAAACACAAACATTAATATACGATATACGCAGATGGTTTGGTATTAATCAGTAAAGCAAAAGGAGGATTCATGAAAATTTTTATTTTTCGAAACATTTTGACTCGAGTAAAAATCAAAACATATAAATCGATAAATATTTTGTTTTGTAAATGACATTCACAAGAGGAGAAACTGTGAATTGTTAGTCAAATTATTTTTTATCTCCATATTTTCCATTAAAAAAAAGTTACTGTAACATATTATATACACTGAAGGACTTAAGTGGCATTTTCCATTCCGAAGAATAAAAAGATTTAGTCTCGTGATTAATATATTATAGTATGTACTTTAGGAAACAAAACTAAAAAAATCATGAAACTTATAAAAAACCACTTAACGATATTCTAATGGTACTCTATGGATTAAAAGTAAATTTTTAATCCCTAAGGAGTAAAGGTGTCATTTTATTTCCTGAAAATAGGGACTAAAAATATACTTTTTAGTCCTTAAAATATATAAAATTGCCTCGAAAATTGTTTACGTATTTCGCTTGTACATTTTTTGACTTCTCTAGTAAAAGGATACTAGTACTTCTAAAATGTATTTTTTTTGTATTGTTCAAAATATCAAAAAAGAAGAAAATACAGTTCATTTAAATGTAAAATAAACTTAAGGAAATAAAACTGTCTTTTGTTTGAACGAAACTTGGGGACTAATATACCAATTTTGGAGTAGCTTCTACTATTCAATACGTCACTGTTTCTTCATAGAGGTGTATAAATGATTAATCTATGATAAAGAAATCGAAGATGAA